GGGGGGGGAAAAGAATTTTCTTCAGTTTTAGCTTTAGACCCAGACTTCTGTAGTACTGGTAGCCCTTGGTTAGTGAACAAGAAAAGTCACCAGATGAGCGAGACTGTGTAAAATGAGCCACTGCGAAAACCGAAGGTGCCATATGCGTCAAAAATACTGCGTGAATTAGTTCAAAAATTTATGCAGCCATTCTTTTACCTGATTGATTTTAATTACACGTGCCCGCGCATAAATGCCTTCTTGCAGTGGAGCCATCACGTACTGGTCCTGTCGTACTGTGGGCACTGCTTCCAGACTGTTTCTGAAAAAAAAAAAAACACTTCAGTTCTGGCCAGCAGGCTTGTAGCAGTGGGATAGTACTGCTGTTGTGCAAATGGTCGAAGGTTCGACTCTGCCGGTAGGACAACCAATCCCTCTACGATTACTTTCGATGGTAAATTGGTACTGGCATGTGTCGAGGAGTCAAACCCGCCATCAGCTTGCTTGTAAGCAACCCTCAAAGGAGGGAGCCACCGACAATTTTGTCAGCGAGTGATTGCTGTTAGCATTTGCTACCACTCAAGCTATTTTCCGAGTGCCTTCGTCTTTCTCTCTCTCTCTCTCTGAGAATAAAAGTACAGAAAGAGGTTTTGATTTTTGACTTTAATTTCGCATTTTAAATGTCAATGAAAACAGTTGAGCAAGGCCTATAAAACCCAAAGAATGCCAATAGTACCAATATTAAAATACAATGAAAACTAAAGATTACGTTTACGCAGTTCCAAGATAATTTCAGTTAGGCAAAATCAACTTTGCGTAAACTAGGCATCAGCAGAAATTAATATCTTAACGAAAGAGAACTTTTCACCAATGCAATAACAACTTTGCTTTTTTTAAAGTAGGCGTGAAATAGAGCAAAAATCACTTAAAAAAAGTCTCAAAATCATCCCTCATCCTATTTGAGGTTAAACTTCATACCCCCTCATCCCATTGAGCTTTGAGGTTAAACTGCCTTATCAATCTGTGTAATTTTACCCAACGCAAAAAATGCTACTTTAAAACGATCAAACGAGGAATTCGAAGGGCTCAAAAACATCACAGGAGAAGAAAAAGGTAAAGGGTTGAGTAAATAAAGCCTGGAACTGATTCATCAAAATCAAAAGCAAAAAAGTGGATTTAAATTCGACAAATTTTTACATTTCGAGGGTAGCACATGAATAAGAAACATCACGTAATTTCAATTTTTAGTTTTTGAATGAATTTTCTTGTCTAATTTTTGAACGGTTAAATTTTTCGGCAAAAAATTCATCTGCCCATATTCGAGAATTAGGCGTAAGTAAAAGTTTTTTTTTCGGATTTAAATTTGCAAAGTTGCAAACAGACAGTGATGGTACGTCTTCGTTCACTTAAGTTAAGATGATTCAACGATTAAACGATATCTTTATATGTATTAAAGATGAAAAGAAGAGACCCCAAGACGAAGAGGATGTGTGAGACATAAACTATTAAAATTTAAAAGAATCGTATAAACTTACACAGAAACTACTAAAATTTATAATAATCGTATAAACTATCAAAAATCGTATAATTATTAATCGTATAGCTTTTAATCGCATAACTATTAACCGTATAACTATTAAAAGAATCGTATAAACTA